CTCTCTATTGAATTTTTCAGTTCTATCGTTGTATTCTTCAGCTCCAGGATTTCTGTTTGGTTCTTTTTTATGGTTTCTATTTTTTTTTTTTTATTAAACTTCTCATTTTGTTCGTGCATTGTTTTCCTGGTTTTGTTTAGTTGTCTGTGTTCTCTTGCTTTTATTGAGTTTCTTTAAGATGATTATTTTGAATTCTTTGTAAGCCAAATGTAGCTCTCCGTTTCTTTGTGGTCAGTTACTGAAACTTTATTATTTTCCTTTGGAGGTGTCATGTTTGCCTGATTCATCATGATCTCTGTAGCCTTGCGTTGGTGTCTGTGCACTTGAATGAACAAACACCTCTTCCAGTCTTTACAGACTAGTTTTGTCAGGTAAAGACTTTCTGTCGGTTTCCTGGGTTTATGAGATTATCTCTAGAATTGCAGTCATGCTGGGTTGGAGCTGGTTTTAAGGCTCTTTCTGGGTCTGCAGTGGGATCCACAGTTGGTGTGCTTGTTATCAGAGGCTTAGGCAGGTATGAATCCTCTCTGGTCCCTGGGTGGATGAGACTGCCTCTAGTACCTTAGTTAGTAGGATAGCACTGGGACAAGCAGACAGGAGTCTGCTTCAGGTTCCATAGTTGGGTCCTCAGTCAGCAGGCCTCTTACCAAGTGTGTGGACAGGTGTGGCTGGAAAGTCTGTCCCTGGAAGGGCTCCTGTCTAGTTACTGGATGGGTCCATGGGTGGTCAGGACTGGCCTTGGACTGCGGCTGGGAGGGGGTGGAATTGAACCTCAGGGCTGTTTCAGGTTCCACAATAAAGATTGAGGCCTGCAGTCCTGGCTCTGGAGGCACAGATGGGAATGTCTCCCACCAGGTCCCTCAGTGGGCTGGACTGCTCCCTGATTGTGGCTGGAGGGGCTGGAGCCAAGTGTAGGGCCTTTTTGAGATCTCCAGGGATGATATAGGAGTATCTCTTTCTGGGTCCCTGGGTCAGCTGATCTGTGGTCGCCTTCGGCTGTGAGGGGCCTAGAGCTAAGTATAGGGCCTTTCAGGATCTGTGGAGGTGCAGATGGGAGTGTTTCCTGCTGGGACCCTAGACCGTCAGTACTGCTGACAAACTATGACTGTTAGGGGGCTGGAACCAAGTATAGGCCCTTTCAGGATTTTCAGGGGCAGAGGCAGGAGTGTCTCCTGCTGGGTCCCTGTGCCAGCAAGACTCTTCAGTGACTGTGGCTGGGATGGGCTCCAGCCAGTTACAGGGCCATTTCAGAATCTACAGTCTGACCAAGTTTGGCAGGTTTACCTGTAGGGGCTCCCAGACAGTGGCCACAAGGGGCTGGAGCCAGTTCATGGGCCACTTCAGGGTCCACAGCCAGGACCAGGGTCTGTATGCCTCTTACCTGACACATGGGTAGGCATGACTCCTCCCAGGTCCCTTGGTCTATGGTGCTGGTGACAGACCCAAAGCGAGATGAGACTGTAGCTGAGTTCTCAAGGGTACAGAGCTGTTTCTGGGTCTGTAGCCAGGAGCACAGTCAGTGAGTTAGCCACCAGGATGTGAGCCTGCTTTCTCAAAATGGCTCTCCTTAGTCTTGGCCTGCACCAGGGTTTCACAGTCTCCCACCTGGATGCCAAAGCTCCCACAAAGGCACTTTTGTCCATGGATGGATGCCACATTATTGTTGATGGGGTGATATGCACAAGGGATGTTTTATTCTGACATCTTGCTGATGTCACTTCCATTTTTATATTTTAATTAAAAAACACACACAAAATCTAGAATGCAGTACTCTTTATATTCAAAGATGGGTCTTAAGAGAAGGTATGGAGTGAAGGTATAGATTTGGGCTTCATTGGCATTTGAAATCATAGAAATAGATGAAATTCCTAGGGAAATGTATAGAGCAAAAAGAAGAGAAAGCTAGAGTACACAATCATCCAAGGAATAGGCAGAGGGTGGAATTAGTGAAGGAAATTGTTACTTTGTCATTTATAAACCCTGCTTCAACCCAAAAAGGGTATGAGATGATTTCTGTAAATAATACCATAGTGTTAAAAGAAAATTAGATGTAAAAATCAAAGCTACAGGAAAGTAAGGATAATTTAGGAAGATGAAGCCTTTGCTTAGGATAGAAATTCATGCTGTATGGTATAGGCACAAGTTAGGTTTTGAAATTTCTAGTAGTCATCAAGGCATTGTGGAAATGTGATCAGTTTGAGATTCAGAGTATTCGTTTAAAAAACAGTTCAATTGCTTAGGCTAAGCAGAATTTTTTCCTGGTACTGAGACTTGAGAGAAATTTCTCCCCTGCGTTCTCATAAAGGGGAAATCGTACAATGTGGTAGTGAGTATCATCAGTGGCCTCCCCCAAATAAACACAATATATATTACTGCTTCTTATATCTCTCAATGTAAGCCAAGGCTATAAAATATTATTATTATTATTTTTAAGCAAGAAGAGATTTAATACAGGATATTAGGTGCTTACAAAATCATTGGAAGAGCCAGAGGAGCAGGCTCTAGACTCTCATAACACCACTGAGCTGGGCTGCCAGAATTGGTGCCATCTCTGCCACCATCAGGAAGGTAGGGAGGGAGGAGGCCACCCAGGGAGATGCTGATTTCAAGAATACACTATTGTAGCTGCCATCGGGGGTCAGGAAGCCACTGCTGCTACATCTCTCGATACCCACAAAGCCAGTAACTGATCAAACAGTAAAATATTCACACACATACACACAATGTCTCTGGCAGCAACAGCCAGAGTAGCAGGCAAGTAGTCTCTGCCTCACAGCTGGCTTCCTAACCTCACACTAAAATATTATTAAAAATAATACTATGAAGGGCTAAAGCAAACCAGTCCCAATACTACCTCTCTGATAGTGTTTTTGTGGATAACTTAGCTAGCCAGAGGTATTAAAGTGAAAACAGCTATATCTTTCTTTCTTAAACCAGCCACATAGGTTGATTGAATTGATGATCAATACCAGGCATTTATGAAAAGAAAAGAGTCCATTTGTTGCTATTATGAGTAATGAAGGAAGCAGAGGTACTAGCTACTTGTTTCTCCTAACCTTCCATTCCTGTCACAGGCATTCACAAAGACTAGTATTACTGGCAACAGATGAGATAGTAAAGGCTCTTCTTGAATCATGACTTGGCTATGCTGGACTCTGCCTAAGTTCCTGTACAGCGTATCTTAGAAGAGAGGGCATGAATATACAATATGAATAGGATAGATGTGGTATGCTAATGTCATCTGGAACTTGTGACCCAGACTTAGTTTTCTTATATTTATTTTCCTCCTCCCTGGACCGTTTCCTCAAGAAGTAGGGGCTTAATTAGCAAATATACATTTAGAGGAATAGGAGCTTGTTTTGGGCTCAACTGCTTTATCTTGCTAAAGGGAACAGAGTTTAGTAATATTAAGAAATTAAAACATTCTTAAGATTCAGACCTGCTGACCAGTACAAGGTTGTTTTTCTTACTTTTCTTCTCTCTATTCAAGCAGTTTATTAGTAATTATTCTTCTTATCTGCTAAGGTGAGATAATCATTACAGTATCTTTTAAGAAATTCCCCCATATAGTAGGGCTTGATTTAGAAAATTTATAAAATTTTGAGGAACATAAGGACTATGTATTTTTAGAAAATTTTCTGTGAATATTATTTCTTGAAACTAAGTATTTGATAAGAATTGGGTAAAAAGAGGATCCAAGAATATATTTTCTATAATGAACCTGGATTGAACATTTTCAGTGTTGTAGATCAGGATTGGCAAACTTTTTTTTTGTAAAATGTCAGATAGTAAATATTTTAGGCTCTGTGGGTTATACAGTCTCTGTTGTAACTATTCAACTCTGCTATTGTGTTGCAAGAGCAACTTTAGACAATACGTAAGTGAATGACTGTTCCAATAAAACTTCATGGACATTACAGTTTGAATTTCATATAATTTTAATGTTTCATGAAATATTATTCTTCTTTTGATTTTTTTTCAATTAATTAAAAATGTAAAAACCATTCTTAGCTCGTAGGCAGTACAAAAACAGGTGGCAGGTTAGATTTGGCCCTTAGGTCATAGTAACTGACCCCTATTGTAGATCAAGCAAAGGTCAAATGAGAAGGAAGAGTTAATATCTTTTTGCAAAAATTCACCATCCCACTCAAGACTTATGCCTAACTAGATGAGCACCCCACCTCTACCTGAGTTGGACAGGAGGAGTTCGTCCAAACAGTGCTGAGATTTTCTTTATAAAATAGTTACAGAATATACAAGAATGTTTGTGAACTCAGAGTTCTAACATATAGAACATGATTTCATGTGATAATTTTAGCTTAAAAAATTGAAGGAGATTTAAGAAGCACAGTTATAGAGGTAGCTGAACTGGGGAGAGTAGAGACTCAGAACTCAGGGAGGATAGAAATTCAAGAAGTGGTCAAAAGAACCAGGTTCTGCAGTGGTAATTAGGATGAAAACTAAAGAGATCACTGAATTGGACAAATTAGATCATAGGTGACTTTGGGAAAGATAATTTCATTAGAATGGTGGGAGCAGAAGTCAAATGAAGAGGATTAAAGAGTGAATAACTCAGGTAGTTCTTTACTACCTGAAAAGTAGAGAGTTCAAAATGTGATAAGAGTTAAGGAAAGTTTGAAGGGCATACAGTATTGAGGGAAGCAAGGATAAGTAGATATTTGACTTGTCTTTTATGCTTAATTTAGTAGACTTTAACAAGTGCTATTTAGGGGCCCGCCCCATGGCATAGCTGTTAAGTGCGCACTCTCCACTTTGGCTGGCCCTGGCGGCCCAGGTTCGGATCCCGGGCGCGCACCAATGCACCACTTGTCAGGCCATGCTGTGGCGGCATCCCACATAAAGTGGAGGAAGATGGGCACGGATGTTAGCTCAGGGCCAGTCTTCCTCAGCAAAAAAAAAAAAAAAAAAACACAAGTGCTATTTAGGAAGTTTTTAGATATACTCTTGTTATATTTCATCATTTATTTTAATTTTAACAGAAAAATGTACCATGGTTATATATGTCAGTATAAAGATGTTTTGAAGCAATACCAACTAAAATACTCAGAAACACCCTTTGCACGTGAATATTATGAGAAGAAAAGAGAACATGAAGAAATTCAAAACAGAGTGTTGGCATGTACTGAACAACTAAAAATGAATGAAACTATTTTTATGGAATTTCTAGGTATTAATATTTTTGTTATATATTAATTATGGTATTTTTGTAATAAAAAGAATATAATAAACCAATCTAAAATATAACTTTGTTTTTCAGTTCCTGCTCCCTTTCCATCACTTACTAAATGGACATTACATATGTATCCACAATAGTATTTCTACTTAGAATTTTTATTAGATAAGTATTATTTCTGTATTTTGTTATTGTGTTTCCCTGGTGAGAATCACATGGGTTTGTTTTTTGTTTAATTCAAAACTTTTAGAGGTTACTTTAAAGTTCATCTGGAATTAGTTTTCGTATATGTGCATGTGATCAGAAACAAGCAATTTTAATGAGATAAAGTGGTATATGTATCTGGCTTTAAGTGGCATATCTTAGCAACCAAACCAATGAAAAAGTCATCTTGCTCTTACAAAAAGAAAGAGTTGCAATTAAATCAATTGATTATTACTTGTTAGGATGGAAGGTGGTAAGGAGGTGAGTCACAATTATTCATTCATCTATAGAAATTCGTTGGGTACCTACTTTGTGCCAGGCAATACTCAAGTAGATACAGAGCTTTCTTGCAAGGAGCTCACAGTTTGGTAGAGGAGACAGACATGTAAACAAATATTCTAATACAGTGGCATTGTATTAGATGCTTAAGTAATTCTTAATTGGTCTTAGTCTCATCTGTTTTTCAAGGAGATCTTCCCTCATGATGAACTTGGAACTTTAATCCTCTTCCAACCTCCGCAATCCTTCATATGCTTTCCTATTAGATTATAACTCTACTGTTTGTACTAAATCTTCTTTATCCCTGCATTCTACCTTGCTTCATTCCGCTTCATCCTAAATCATCCTTTTAGCTCCTTTGCTGCTTGCTCTCTCCATGTTTGAGTTTTAGCTTATTCTGTTCTTAGTTGTTCATTTGCTGCCCATCTATATTTTAACTTCTCAATGGGAAGGGGCAGAGGTTGGTGGATGCAGAAGGTACAGCAGGGGTTTAGCGAGTTGGGTGTAGGATGGGATGAGATGAAAGACTGTATGACAAACAAGAAGAGATGATGGAGATAGGGAGAATTGAAAATTAGAATTTAAATGTCTATGTCTAAAAAATTAAATTGATACTTTTGATAACAATGTAGCGTTCATCTGACATTTTATGTTTTCGCATATAAATCATATTGTAAAGCAGAATGGGAAAGGTCTGACAGGTTTTCTCTGGAGATCTTCCACTAGAAGATCACTACCAATATCACTAGAAATAGTTCTTTACCACTATTCTATTCATTTTTAAATTCTCCTAAATGGATTATAGAGTAACTTAGGCAATTGTAGTAGCTAATAACCGTGCAGGATATCTGTTAACAGCTGAGAAATTCTCTACTTGAAGTTGGGTATAAATCCAGTTCAAGCAGAAAGTCCAGATGGAAGATCTAGCTCTCTGCTGAGTTCTGCAGGGTGCACTGGTGAACCTTACAGAGCAAGAAAAGGGAAATTGGGTGGACTTTTAATGTTGACTTTGAAACAATAAATAATGGAAACAAAAGAAGTTAAATTTGGACCTGAATTGATTATGTATATTATTCATGCCAAATGACACAATGAACTTGGGTAAAAAGACAAGAGCAGAAACCCACCTTATGATCCCAACAAATATTTTAGATGAAATGTTATTTTTAAGCTAAATATATAACATGGATAAACAATAAATTATCTTTACCGGTTTGCCAAATGTTTATATTTAGTCTTATTTATGTTTTCAGATACCATTATTATCACTTATTGCTTATATGGAACACATATATAAATAATGTTTCATAATATTATTTCTGATATAGTATATATATTATAAATGTAAAAATTACTTGTATGACATAGTTCCTTAACATAAAAGGGTTAATTTGAGATATAAAACACAAGATATTCTTAAACATGCCAACAATTTTTCCAAAAGTTCATCTGAATTGAAGAAAGAAGTAGATGAAGTAGAAATAGAAACTAATTATTTAAACCAGGTATGTATTTTGCTACATGTTTCTAGTGTGTGTATTAATGTGTAAGTCTAATGATATGTTAGTTAACAGTCTTAGAAGAGCTATTTCTAAACAGCCTAAATATGGAGAGAAGCTTATGATAATTTATTTGCCTCAAATTACTTTTGGAGCCAAAATGTGTTTTAGGTATTGAGTATACTCAGCTCTTGAGTTTTGGAAAATAGTTTAACTTTCTTTGGGGGTCAAGGAAAGAAGATGAGGAAAGAACAAGATGTAGCTTAGTAATAGGAATTTAAAGACATTGAAAAAGCTACAACAGTATTGTCATAAAAGAGAACAAGACAGTAAATGGTTTAAAGAACTTAATCTTGAAAATTAATGAATAATCTTTATAGGGCTACGCTAGAACTAGTTTACCCTTTAAGATTGATGGTGCATGATATTTGCCTGAATACATTTTTAGTGTCCTCTATTGAAATGTGGCTTTCATTGACAGATCTGAGAACCCATCAAAATCACTTCCAAATTTTGGGGAAAAAACGTAATAGCTAATTTTCTAAATTTTTTGAAAATTGTGTTAAATATGGTATATTTATCATTCATAGATATGAGGTTCCAAATAACGGTAATATCAGTTTAGTAATGAGAAGAAAGTGGATGCCACTTCCATTAAAATATATGGTAACTGTGCCTCTATGTAGGAAATCAGTGTCTACTTTGCTTCTCTGGCTGTCATGTTTAAAAAAGAAGATGGAAGTTCATTGAAATCTAGGTTTGCTAATGGAGTTTTAAGGAAAAGTTAAAGGAGTATGATTTATTGTTAATTTTGACTCTGTTAATTGTTAATTTATTGTTAATTTTAGCAACTTGCACTAAAAGATAGCTAATACTACCAAAAATATAAATATTGTGATTATACAGAAAAAAATCATATTCATTAGTTAAGATAAAACATATGTTCCTCAATGCTTTGCAGGTAATTATTTTGCCTTGTCATTTGTCTTTTAGCAGATTGCAAGACTTTATGAAACTAAGAATCTTTCAGAAACTCTGGAAGAAAAAAATAAAAATATAGAAAAGAGAAAGGAATTGAAAGAAAGGTATAGGTAAACTTTAAAATGGGATTTTGTGTGAACAGATATTCTGCATCTGAAAATGTGATTGTACATTCTATCCCAAGCCACTAATGTTTACACAGCATCTATATACATTTTTTTTGTGCAGGCTGTTTTCTATTCATTTCTTAAGAAAGTTATTAATTTATACCTTTAAATATTATGGACTAATATTCAAATCTGCTTGTTATTTAGTAAGGCCAAGGGTAATGTATAGAGAGAAATAGGGTAGCAGCAGCACATTTGCTGTTCTGTAACCTGTCAGGTGTGCATTTCATCCAATTTTCCATGATGGGTCACCAATAGGAGGAAAATAGGAGTAAAATAGTGAGAGCAGCAATGTATTTACCTTTTTATCACCCTGTCACCAACTTGACCAGTTCTTCCTTTGCCACAAAGACTGAAGATGAGCCAAAATGCTACTGAATCTGTGGCATCATATGTTTCTTTATCTTTCATCCTAATGGTGATGAAATAGACATCAGTGGTGGAGACATTTTAAAAAAAAAAAAAAGGTTGATTTGCCTGTTGTGTGACAGAAAAATAGATGTATCACTGTTGTTGTTTCTGGTAAACTTTCTACTTTTTCCCTTTCTGCCTATACCCTTTTTCGTTCTTCTTAAGTTTCTCTCCTTAGGCTCCATTTCTTTTATCCTGATTTTTCAACACACTCCTCTCCCAAGTTAATTCCCCTGATCCCACTTCCTTGGATCTGTTATTTTCTTGATACTCCCACTTCTCATATCCATGATAAGATGCCTTTAATTTTGTAATGAAATTGATTAGAAAAATAGGTAAATGCACAGAATTTCACTTTACTGACAACTTTTAAATATTATAAAAATTCTCTATATGGAGAGGAACTTATATAACTATTTAGTCATTTTTACTTAGTGTATGTTTTGATATTATCAGCTAATATCATTATTTAAATTATTAACTATCAATAATTAAAATTATTTCTTTAATTTAGCAAGAATTCAGTGAAATTATTCTTCCAGTAAAAAACTTAAAAGACCCATTTATGATTGTTAGATTACTTTAATGATTTCTATATTCATGCCAGTTGATTTGTTTCTGAAGAAATCTTTTAAAGTTTGAAGTACTCTGAAATCTAAAGTATGCTATTTATAGATAAAGTTTTGGTTTAAAATGTTTTTGTCGTGTTTAGAAAGTCTTTTAGGGACCAGCCCTGTGGCTTAGCGGTTAAGTGCGCTCCCTCTGCTACTGGCGGCCCGTGTTCGGATCCCGGGCGCACACTGGCGCGCCGCTTCTCCGGCCATGCTGAGGCCTCGTCCCGCATGCAGCGGCTGGAGGGATGTGCGACTGTGATATGCAACTATCTACTGGGGCTTTGGGGAGAAGGGGGAGGAGGATTGGCAGTGGATGTTGGCTCAGAGCTGGTCTTCCTCAGCAAAAAGAGGAGGATTAGCATGGATGTTAGCTCAGGGCTGATCTTCCTCACGAAAAAAAAAGAAAGTCTTTTAAAGTGATTATGTTTTAAAAATGCAAGTGTGGTATACTGAGAAGAGCAGTGAACTTAATCAGGAAAAGTGTGTTTTAGCTGTGAACCTAGTTAAGTAAGTTAATAATATTGGGCAGATCTGTTAAATTCTCTGAAACTTGGTTTCATTATCTGCAAAATGAGGAGTTTTAACTATATGTTGTCTAAATATCTCTTCTAGCTTTAAAATACGTTTTTTACTTAGCTGATATTTAATGTAATTCACTCTTCTCTTTAGAATTTTTGAAAAAGATGAACAACATGTGCATGTATTGAATAAAACCCCTCAAAACAGTCAATTATTTCTTCCATATGAATCTCAGAAATTAGTCAGACCAATAAAAATGCATTCTTCAGAACCAAAAGTTATAGGTACAGTATCTACTTATTATTCAAAAACTTGGCTTTCTCTGCAAACCTATAGAAAAAGAAATAGAAAGAAGCAATTTTAATTATCACTTGGTGTAAGCAAGAACAAACTACACTGGAGACCTATAGACTCAGGAAAGTACTACTTTGATTCTTTCTGAGAGCAAACAAGATATGCCTTCTATATTTAAGTTCTTTCTTTTAATAGAGAAATTACATGATATTAAAAAAAGTGTTGTGATCTGGTTACACAGTTGTCAGAGAAGGATGAATAATATATTTTTCATATGAGAAGTTTTATTATCAGTATGACTAAAGTGGGTAGCAGACTTGTGTTAATGACTGTGACTTAGTCACTGAGATATCTTAATGATGTTTCATTCAATGGATCTGCAGATTAGATTAACTACATTGTATTAGAGTAACTACATTGTATTAGAGTAACTACATTGGCTGGCTTTTTCCCCCAGTCATTAATATCACCACTCTGCCTTCTTTGGTTCTCCATTATAAAGATGTGGTTTTGTCAGCTGGTTTTCATTTTACATCATAGTTATTGTAATAGCTATTACATAGTAAGGAATTAAGAGTTATGGAATAATCTCATAATTCTGTATTTTAATTTAAATTAAATATTCATGTGACTTGGTTTTTTAAATTACAAGGTTAAGTTAAATGTTGGGCATGACATTTGATTCTATCTCTGGAATTGATTTGAAGTTATATAATTTAATAACCTAGATGAAAATGAAGAAAGTTCTGTGAAGCAGTCAAAGCTTGCCAATATTGACTTCAGACAAAAAGAAAATGATACACAGGTAGGTATTTCTTTTTTAATAGTATAAATTAAATACTTGCTTTCTTTAAATGAAGAAGTGAATGTACTGCATTTAGGACATTGGTGTGTGTGTGTGTGAGAGAGAGAGAGAGAGAGAGAGAAATATATTAAATCAGCCATTAGTACAACCTCAGGATCTAAAAAACTTAAAAGTTTCAATATGGCAGCCTGAGCATATACTGCAGCTTTCTGACTCCTAAAAATAATAGAAAAGATATTTTAAAATACCAAACCCTGTACCCAGTAGACCAAAAACTGTGAGACATTCTAAAGGAGGAAAACAAGATTGGATTGAAGAGGGAAATTGTGGTCCAGGACTTGCAGAGGAGAATACTCATTGCAGGGACAATGAATAGGGTAATTGGTTGGGTTACTTCAGTGGGAGTTAGTTTGGTTAACACCTGTTCATCTCATATCTACTCTGCCTTTGGCCAGGCATCGGCAATTGGATGACTGTCTTCAGGTGGAAACAGTGAGGCTAGGAGCTTGGGTTAGAGAGAGAGATGCAACTCTGAGTGGTTCTTGATGCTCATGAAGAACAACGAGCATACCACCCAGAAAGCTAGCTTCTGGTGTGGCACATGTCTGTCTTCCCCCATTCTTCCTGAAAGTAGTCCAGAGGAAAATTCTCAATGAAAAATTTAATTGCTTTCCATTAATTCACAATTAATGCAGATATAGGGGTAGTGGAGACCAAAATAATTAATGAAACATTAATTCTAAATATGTATTAATTATCAAAATTTAAAAATCTGGTACTAAAATTCCAGGTGGTATCAATATGGGATGAAGGTGGCAAGATGAATGAAGGAAACAAAAGTTTACTCAAGTTCTTTTTTTGTTTGGGGATGGAGGTAGGGAGAAGATACGAATACTGATAAACTCTATATATTGTTGGAAAAATGTAAATTTATGCATGTATGTTAAGCAGTTAAGGGTAACCAACAGAAGAGAAATGGAATGTGTAAGTTTTAAAATGGTAGAAGAAAAAAATAAAGAAAACTTAATCAGTCCAACAAAAGGCAGGAATGGAGGGGAAATAAAACATCAAGAAAGCATTATAAATAGAAATCAAATAAGATACCAGAAATAGTTTTGAACAAATCAGTAAGCATAAAAATGTGACAGAGATGCTTCTATGGGATATATAAACGAGATATAGCCATAGACTTAGAACAGCTGAAACAACTTGACAAATGAAGGCTGAAAATAAAAGGATAGAAAATACGTAGGCAAATACAAACAAAAACAAAGTAGATATAACAATACCATATAAAATAGAGTTTAATATAAAAAACATTAATAAGGATAAATATATTTTATATTTTTCAAAAGAATAATTCACTAGGAAATTATAGGAACCACGATGCACCAAATTATACGGTTTCAAAATACATAAAAGCAAAAATTGATAGAATTCCAATGAAACAGTTGAATCCACAATTAAAACAGGATAGCTCTCTCAAAAAAAGTGCTGACCCTCACTTTAGGGGTTGAGTTTGGTTACATGTGAAACAATACAAAACCAAAACAATGAAATAATAGCATGTTAAACAAGAGAAACATTTATTTTTCTTTCACTTGCCATGAAATTCTAAAGTATGGGACTCAGATTCATTTATCAGGGCTGACAGCACCATCTCCAAAATGTTCTTCTTTCTCACATGCCGTCTATGCTTTCTTTTCTCGCTATCTTAATGCTAAGCTTTCACCTCAAGGTCACCTCATGGGAAGCTAACCATTGCAACTTTGCCATCATATCTGCCTTCCATGCAGGAAAGAAGAAAGGGAGAAAGGCTGGCTGAGTCAGCCTCATTTTTAAGGATCTTTCCTAGAAGCTCCTTAAACAATTTCTGGTAATGTTTCGTTGGCCAGAACTTAGTCACATGGCTACCTCTATCTGTGGAGAGGTTGAGAAATATAGGTGTTTTTTTTATTTTTAAAATCAGAGCACAGAGGAAAAGTAGATTTTGGATAGGATAGAAAACTGGCAGTTTCTGCCAAAGGAACAAATCAAGTAGATGAAAAATAAGTAAGGATGTAGAGAATCTGAATAACACAATTAGCAAACTTTGTGCCCAACATACACAGAATTCAGATAAATTTTTATTTTCAGTATTCCCCCAAATTTGTCATTTACTAGACTAAAAATATCTCAACCAATTCTAAAAAGTTGCTATCTTCACTTACCACAATGTAAAAAAATAGAAGTTAAACAAAAAGCCCTCTCCTCAAAAAACTATTTGGCTGAGGAAAATGAAATTCACATACTTTCAAATTACTTTTGGGTTATGGAAGAAATCAAAATATAATTTAAAAACTGTTTAAAAGAATACTATAAACCAAAACCTGTGGAATATAGCCAAATTGGCCCTCAGAAAGAAATTTATATTTGAAAACAAATATAATTTTCTAATTATATCTGTTCTCTCTATATATATTATATCTATATATCTAACTATATATTATATATTATAGATATAGATAGAATATATATCTATATATGTTCTATTAGAATATTATATATGTTCTAACAATATTTCCTAATAAGAAAGATTAAAATTAACTTTAAGTATGAAAAGTTCAACTCCAGGTATGAAAAGCTCAACTCAAAATATGAAAAGAACAAAGTAATAAGTGCAAAGAAAGGAATTAATAAAGAGAAAAGCAGAAAATAATGAAATAAAAAGTTGGGTTAATCAATATAGCCAAAAGTTAATAACTTCTAAATATCAACAAAATTTCAGCAAGTATAAAGAAAAAAGAAAAGCCTCCTCACCCCAAAAGAAAAGAATAAAAAGAGGAAAAAGTTCATAGCACTACTCATATGGAAGAAATCTTTTCAAAGTCCTAATAGAGTACTATGTAAGACTTTATACCAATACATTTGAAAAATTTAGGTGAGATGCACAGTTTTCTAGGACAATATAAGTTGCTACATAGACTGAAAAAGAAAAACACGAATAGATCAATAACCTAGAAGAAACCGAAATGTAAGCAAATGTCTATTTCCCTCTTTGCTCCCTAACTTCCCTCCTTTCTTCCTCTGCCAGACACACCCTGCAGAACATACCAGACTCGGTTTTTCAAGTGAATTCTACCAAACGTTTAAGGATTAGATCAGAATTCCTCAACCCTGACACTATTGACATTTTGGACCAGATAATTCTTTGTTGTGGGGTCATCTTGTGACCCACTAGAGGCCAATAGCACCTCACCCCCAAGTTATGACAATCAAAAATATCCCCAGACACTGTGAAATGTCCCCTAAGAGGCAAAATTGCCGCAGTTGAGAACCATTGGATTAAATAATCTTTTTATGCAAACAATTCTAGAGTATAGAAAACCAGTAGATAGCAAGGACAAGAAGAGTGAAAGAAAAGGAAAACTATATATTAGTCTCAAGAATGAGCGTAGATGTAAAAATCCTAAATAAGTTATTTGCAAACCATATTTGGCACTGTAACATTAAAAGAATAATGTATTATGACTAATCTTGGTTTTCCCAAGGAAGGCAATGATGGTTTAGTATTAGAAAAATCCATCAATATGATTCACTACATTAACAGATTGATAAGAGATTTTAAATAAATATTTAAAATAAAAGATGTTTAAAAAGAATATTAGGGAGATTCATACCATCAGATATCAAAATGTTTATTTTTTTACTTTTGTTATTGAGATATAATTCACATATCATAAAATTCACCATTTTAAAGTGTACAATTCAGTGGTTTTTAGGTAGTGTAACCATCACCACTAATTCTAGAACATTTTCATCATCCCTCAAAATTTTTAAACATTATCAAAATGCAGTAATTATAACAATGTGGTGCAAGAAAAGACAAATTGATCTATGAACTACATCAAAATAAAAAACTTCTGTATGACAAAAGACACTAACAAAGTTAAAGGACAATGACAGAATGGGCAGAGGATTGGTATCCAGAATGTATAATCTATTAAGAAATACATAATAATTCTTACATATTGGTAAAAAAAGCAATAAAAATAGGCAAAAGCTAAGGCAGTTTGCAGAAAAGGAAAGACAGAGGGTCACTAAACATAACAAGATGCCTGACCTCGGGAGTACAGGAAATGCAAATTAAACCAATGAGATACCTGGTTTCACTTATCGAATTTGTAGACATTAAAACATTTGATAATATCTAGTGAGGTCAACGATAGTGGGAGTGTTATTTGGTACAACTACTTTGGAGGACTGGTTCACAGTATTTATTAAAAATAAAATGCACATACTCAGCAATTTCACTTCTTGACATCTACTCTAAACAAATACGTGAAATACTTGTACAAATACTTGTACCAGGAGGCATATACAAACATGTATATTGTTTAAAACATATATCCAAACAGTAACAACACTTGTTCTTTAAGGGACAAGTGTTCTTTAAGGGACAAGGCCTTTTCCTTATGATCTAAAAGCACAATAAGATGACAGAATTAAGACCAATGGCTGTTATAACAAAAATAAATGGGATAAACTTTCCTATTAAAATAAAGATATTTTCATTTTGGGTCAAATAGGAAAAATCAGGAACTCTTCAAAATGAGTGACTCAGGAAGAATAAAAACTTGAAACAGACAATGCAAACATTAGTAAAGCAGTGATTTAGATATTGGATGTTTAAAAAATGTAATTAAAGTTAAAAATGAAATATTAGCTCTTTCATACATAAAAAAAGTGTCATATATAAAAAAGAAAGCTTAATCTTTTAACCTACTGTTTTGCTTTCCTATGTGCAATTTGAGAGGTTATACAGGATAGACACAGAAATCAGGTAATCAGTTGAGAAAATGGTAAGATTCATTTGATTAGTCATGAATATGGGATAAAATTTTAAAGGGTTTAACTTAAATGTAGAAGTACTACCAAGCATAGTTATTATACTTCTCAAAAAACACCAGATTGCTTGAGAGTCTTAGACCTTTTTGTTTCCCAGTATTTGACTTAATATTTCGTATGTAGTGGCTTCAGTTAATGTTTGTAGTTGTTGTTGTTGTTGTTGTTGTTTTTTGTGAGGAAGATCAGCCCTGAGCTAACATCCATGCTAATCCTCCTCTTTTTGCTGAGGAAGACCGGCCCTGAGCTAACATCTATTGCCAATCCTCCTCCTTTCCCCCGCCCCGCAAAGCCCCAGTAGATAGTTATATGTCATAGTTGCACGTCCTTCTAGTTGCTGTATGTGGGACACGGCCTCAGCATGGCTGGAGAAGCGGTGCCTCGGTGCGCGCCCAGGATCCGAACCCGGGCCGCCAGTAGTGGAGCGCGCACACTTAACCGCTAAGCCACGGGGCCGGCCCTGTAGTTTTTGTTGATATTGATAATAGTGATGATGATGATGAGAATGACAGTGCTCTTGGAGAGCCCTGAGTAGCTATGGCAAGCAAAAAATTTTTATTGTTTTGTGTAGCCAATTCTAATGCTTAATTTCTTTTGTTCAGGTATTTAATGACTCTGCTGTGAATAACCATTCAAAATGTTCACATGTTACAGCTATTAAAAGTTCACAAAATTGTATGCAGTTCAGGTAACTTAAAAATAGAAAAATGCTTTAATTTCTGAAATAATTTATTAACTCAGCAAATAATAATACAATTTTTATTTATTGTATTTTAGATTGGTAACCCCACAGAAACAATCAAATTGCAATCGGTGGTTTGAAAAAGGAGATACAGGTATTTGCTGATTATAATTTTCATAAGAAGTGAGAATAACAAATTATATCAGGTTTTTATGCTATCCAAATAAATTGTTTGGATTGTTTGCATCTCTGGTAAACTGATCATGCATGCCTGGTTTTTAAATACGTTTTTCCCTAAATATAAAACAAATACATGTCATTGTAGAAAATTTGGAAAACGGAGAAAAATATAAAAGAAACAAATACCACCACCCAGACATAATCAACATCAAACATGCTAGTGTATATTCTTGTCTTTTTTTCCATGCATAAGTATGTTTTGTTCTTTTATTTTTCCCCCCAATTTTAAGCATACTATGTGTATCATTTTGGATCCTTTTCTTCTTACTTGATACACTGTTGAGGTTATTTTTCCATGCCATTAAATAGATTATTTGTAATGACCTTATAATGTGCCATTGTATGGATTTGCTATAATTTATTTAGCCGTTCTCTCACATTGAATAGTTGTTATCTTCAGATTTTTTTGCTATTATAAATAGTGCTACTATATTCTTCTACATAATCTTTTACTATCTTGGATTATTTTTGTTGAATAAAATCATAGAAAGATCACAGGATATATATGTATGAGTTTACTGTCCTAGAATCAACTAGCTGTTGGAACTTTGACACACCCTTGAAAATACTCATTCTCTGTCTCTTTGTATATATATATGTATGTATATGTAAATATATACATGTATGTATATATAAAATATGTAATATATCATACACACATATATACATATTGTTAACCCAGTAATGAATAACAATTATTCCACTTATTAGGCTGTATAAAAGTCTTCACTTCTTCTTGTCTATAGCATGTGGATTACTGACTTTTATTTTGAAGTTCTAAAAATGTTCATTCTGGCAGTATAAAAATTCTGTAAATATATGCATATTCAGAATGGTCATATAATATACTATAAGTCTGTTTCTCCCACTCTCGGTATAGGATTTAACCAACACAATATGCTTGCTCCACGCAGATGGATTTTCTTCCTGCTTTCTTCTGGAAGAAAGAACTATACCTTATTTGCACAAGTGATCTGTTTCACCTGTTTATAGTCCTCTGTATATGCCAAGCTGACAGAGTGTTAAACAAGGGAGAAATGGCTAATTTCTAGGAACGGTACACCCCTAATACAGATATGGGGGGAAATGCATATATCTGGCATAGTCCTAGCTGCCATTGAGCATATATGGTAAAGCTTCATACCCAAGAAGGCATATAATTATCTTAGAAGAAAGAAAGACTCTTTTCAACGATCTCCAGGACTATCTTTTGAAGAAGTTAATGTGTGGTAAAAATAATAGTTGTGACTTAAATGCAAGAGTCAAAACTATAAAGCTTTCAGACGATCAAATAGAAAAACATCTGTTCAAGATAGGAAGGGATTTCTTAAATAAGAATTTAAAAACACAATCATAAAAGAAAGATTGATAAATTTGGCTAAATTAAAATTAAGAATTTCTATTCATCAAAAGACACTATTAAAAGAATGGAAGACAAGAGAGGGTATATTTTCAGTACATAAAACTGTCAAAGGACTAGTTTCCAAAAATGTATAAAGAACTTCTACAAACCAAGAAGAAAAAGAAAGACAACCCAATTAGAAATATGTGCAAAATAAATGAATAGGCACTTCAAATAGAAAAACTTTTGTAGCAGATAAACGTATGAAAAGGTGCTCAGCAAATCAGGAAAATGAAAAATAAAACCACAATGAGATATCATTACACATCCACCAGGTTAGAAAGTCGGACAATACTAACTGTTGATGAGAATGTAGGACTATAGGAACTCTCATAACTATTGGTAGGAACTGTCATTTATAAATGACTGCCTATTGAGACTATACCTAAATTATAATTGGAGCTAATAACTTTGGTGAAATTGAATGATTTCCTAGGGTAGCTCAGATTAGCTAGTTGCCACAACAAAAATTGGTAAGTAGTTTGGAAACTAAACCTTGGAAAATAGTTTAACATCTGGTAAAATGAAAGATACACATACCCTATACCTCATAATTTCACTCCTATGTATATATCTAGAGAAATACAAGTATGTATATACAAGTATATATGTAAAAAAATGTTCATAACATCATTGTTTGTAATAGCCTCAAAGCAAAAACACCCCAGATGCTCATTTGTAGTAAAATGGATAGATATGTGTTTGTGCAATGGAATACTTTACACCAGTAAGAGTAAGCAAGTTATGTCTATATGCAACAATACCGATGAATCTCACAAGCATATACTAAACAAAAAAAAGCAAGACACACTGCACATATATATTATTATTTCATCATATAACATTTTAAAACAGGAAAAATAAACTATATTGCTTAGGTGATAAAACTATATAAAGCAAATCAAGGAAATGATTATCACAGAAGTCAGGATAGTGGTTACCTTTCAGAAGGAGGATATGGGGAATATGGGGCCTATTGGAGTACTCATAATGTTCTGTTTCTTTACCTGGGTGGTGGTTACGTGGGTGTTGTCTTTACAATTTTGTTTGTTAAACTTTTCAAATAGGTTTTATTCTCTTATCTTTATGTATTGGATTGACCTATATTAAATTGCCATTCTTGTAGGTCAAAAACATTTAAGTATTGGCAATTTCATGTGGTACAGCTAATATGTTTTCTTTACAATGAAATTGCAAAAAGAAAAAAATTGTTTTCATATAACAAACAGATGCTGAGTGTGGAGATAAAGGGACAGTAAGACAATTAAGAGAATCAAAAGGTACCTCACAAGTAAGTCAAATGTTTGCTTTCTAATTTTTAAGCAAAATATTCCAATTTAAAATATTGTGTTTCCATTTTAATTTCAGATTTAGTATAATGAAGATTATTTATCTGAGGTCTAGATGTTATTAGCTTGGTAATCAGGTTGTTATGGTGTTACAGATTGTATCCCTTAGAGAAGTTTAATTTAAAAAATGAAGCCACAGGGGTCAGCCTCATGGCCAAGTAGTTGGAGTTCCGTGCACTTCTCTTCCATGGCCCAGATTCGCGGAGTTTGGATCCCGAGAGCAGACCTACTCCGCTCATCAGCCATGCTGTGGAAGCATCCCACATATGAAGTGGAGGAGGACTGGCATGGATGTTAGCTCAGGGCTAATCTTCCTCACCAAAAAAACAAAAGAAAGTTAAAAGCATTAAAAAAAAAGTGAAGCCACAGAAAGTTTACGTGAAAACATACAAAAAGAGTTGTCGTTAATAACTGACTATATATATTGACAACACAACTAAATCATGACTGAAGAAAACAATTTTGTTTGGTAAGATTAAGTGATTTGCCAAGGCAATTCAAGACCAGTATTTGCCCAAAAATATCTCTGAAATATTTTTTAATAGTGGAAAGCTTTAATGATGATAGATGTAGACAATGCCTGTTGAATTTACCATACTACTAAGGGTTAAAACAAGAGAAAAAACATAGAAGTATTCTGCTGTAAATAAATACAGGTAAAAAGCACATTTTAATTTTTTTGGTAGAGGAACCCAAATTGTTTCTGCAATGGGATTTGGTATAACAAACATATTTGAGAAATCACATTCCTAGCTTAGAAAATGATATAAAGAAAAATTAGTATTCAGTTTCTCAATCTTTGCAGAGAACATAGTATAATGAATTTGTAAGGGCAAAAAGTGCAAAGAACATAACCAATGAGAGCAAGATTGCTTAGAAATAAATTACTTTTCCCTTTCAAGAGGTATCATATACAATTCTTGACACAGAGCATGATGTGGAAATTGTAAAAGAAAAATCACTTCTAACCATTTTTCGTCAATGTGAGTGTGTTCTGGTTACCATTTACCTTTTCAGCTGTGAGTAGGAGAGGCGGATCTGGGAAGAAAAGAAAAATTAGATAATGAAAAATTAATTATTTTTCCATTTTTTTAGCAGATATATTTTGGTACCCCTTTCACCAATTATTCTTATTTTGCCTGTTTTATCTATGAAATGATAACATCTTAGATTAATACAGTGTTTTCCACCTCAAGCATTTTTACAATTGTGAGTTTATTAATGCAATAACATTCATGTTTATAGTTTTCTCTTACTTTGAATTTGCAGGTTCTATATGCAGAACATTTTGGAAAGCCAATAGAAAATAATAGTGATGCAGTAGAGGAAAAGGCTGAGAATTTTCCATTAACTCCTGAAATTCCTTCATTTTTAAGAACTCCAGAAGCTGTGAAAACACCTGAATCTTTGGAGAAGTTAGTGTTCCATAAACCCCCCTCATTTGAAATTCGGGAGTTTAATTAATAATTATAATGAAAGGGGCCAGCCAGGTGGTGTAGCAATTAAGTTCGCGCACTCCGCTTCAGCGATGGCCCAGGGTTTGCAGGTTCGGATTCTGGCCACGGACCCACACACCACTTGTCAAGCCATGCTGGAGCAGGCGTCCCACATATAAAGTAGAGGAAGATGGGCACAGATGTTAGCCCGGGGCCAATCTTCCTCAGCAAAAAGAGGAGGATTGGCAACAGATGTTAGCTCAGGGCTAATCTTCCTCACGCACACAAAATAATAATTATAATGAAAGAATCTACATACTGAGTTATATAATGTAAATAATTGATAGGAATAGTAAAATGCCTAAAACCTGTAACTTAAAAAGGTTTTTATTGTGGAAAATTTCAAATATATAAAGGAGAAAGAAACTAGTACAATGAACCTCCATGTACCTATCACCTTGTTTGAACAATTATTAACATTCTGCCAGGGCCAGCCCCAGTGGCCTTATGGTTAAGTCAGGCACACTCTGCTCCAGCAGCCTGGGTTTGGTTCCCGGGCGCAGACATACACCACTCATCTGTCAAGTGGCCATGCTGTAGTGGTAGCTCACATACAAAAAAAAAAAAAAGAGGAAGATTGGCATTGGATGTTAACTCAGGGCGAATCTTCCTCAGCAAATAAATGAAGAAGAAGAAGAAGAAAAAAAAAATTCTGCCATTCTTGTTTCATAGACCCTCTTCCCCATTTTTCCTGCAACATTTAGCTGTAGATGGCATAGATCCTGAGTGCTTATCCAGTGTGATAGTATATAGATTTAAGATTTTCAAAAGGATTAAAAAAATATGAAAAAATTTAAAATGTCAACCTACTATCACATATGGTAGATTGTGGACATCATCAAATAATGTTTCAGCCGTCATTTTTCCTTATGTTATAGTGTCTAAAGCAAGACTTGTCATTCTGTTAAGTGACCTTGGTAGCCGTAAATATCTCTAACATGATTATTTAACTTTGGTGACCACGGATTTGTAGTTTGAAGCCAAGAAAATAGTGCTGCATTTATTTATTTATAATAAATAACCGGCAAACCCCGGGCTGCTGCAGCGGAGCGCGCGCACTTAACCGCTTGCACCACCGGGCCAGCCCCAATAGTGCTGCATTTATTTAACCTTAAGATTCCTCTAAAACATATGTCAGATTTCCTTCATCAGGGATCTCTCACCTGTCTTCTACCTCTGTATTTTAAATTGCCAGTAGGAGTTGTATATATATGAATGTCATGCTGTTGACTCAAACACAGCACATTCAAAGTGGAACTCATCATCAAATCTGAGAACTGTAAAAGGATGTGGCAATCATATGCCAAAACCTCTCTTTATGGTGAGAAAACTGATCTGTAAAGTTAAGTGACTTATTAATGGTCACGGAGGTAGTTATGGAAGTATCTTCAGACTTCTATTACATTTAACAAACACTTATATAACACTATGTCTAAGCATTTTATAAATATTACTCATTTAATATTCACCACAACTTTAGGAGATGTAAGTTACATTATTGTTCTTATTTTATAAATGAGGAAAGAGAATCACAGGTGATACAACTTGTCAGTGATAGAATTGAGATTCAAACCCAGGCAGTTCTGCCTCCAGAATCCATGCTTTTAACCACTAGGTTCTATAATGTCTTGTCTAATTACTTTTCTCAAATCATCTTATAGTAACTCCCTTTTACAACAATCTGTAATGGCTGGCTTCATATCAAGACTAAAATCTTGTGACTGGCTTTCAAGATCTTGGGAACGGTGTAGCATCAAGAATAAGAGCTTACGTTTTGAACCTGGATTGCTGCATTCAAATCCCAACTCTGGCACTTAAGTTCTTTTGAGCAAATCATTTAACCTTTCTATACTTCAAAATCCTCTTCTGTAAAATGGAGGTGATAATAATAGTACCTATTTCATAGGGTTATTATGAGGGATAAGTAAGTTAATGCCAATGGAAATACCTAGACTAGAGCCTGACAGTATATTCTCAGTAGGAATTCATTATTATTATTCCATAATTGATTGATCTACTTTACTTAACGTTATTCTCCACCCAAAACCATCTTTTTCTTCATAGGTTTGTCACTTCAATAATTACATCCCCCCATCCCTACTGTGCTAATTCTTACCTCTATGCCATTGCTTATGGTACTTACCAGTCTGCAATATTTAATAACAGATTTTTAACATTTTGATGATTTTTTATTTCTCTGTAACAGAAATAGAAATACAATACCTGAAGGTCAAACACAAAAGGAATCCCCTGGATTTTCTTTTCTTATGAGTTATACTTCTAGATCACCTGGATTGAATTTATTTGATTCTCCTATATTTGATTCAGAAATCTCATCAGATCAGGTAATATGAGAAGCTAAAGTTTTATTTCTGAAAAATTGTCTACTGGAACCTCAAGTAACTTTAATTCTTTTGTACCAAACTGTCTTGGAGGAGAGTACAAAACACAGGCAATTTTGTAAAAAATTCTGTGTATTGATAGTATAGCAAAGTTTCCCCATTATCTTTTTGTTTTCAACTTCAGGTGCCCTAAATTGACCTCTATTCATAAAAAAGAATCTCAGGATAGAAATGATTTAAATTGTAGTTAAAGGCAGTTTAAAAATTAATTTGGCTTTATAGTTCATGTGTCTAACTTCTAAACAAACTTCCACATAGTCTCAGTGTGAAAAATGTTCCAGGTTATTAGTTGGTCTTTTCATCTACATGTGTGTACGTAGCAGCATTATCATTGGTTAATTTTAAAAGACCTAAATAATTTCCTTTTAATAGTGATTTCTACTGTTCAGTGATAGAAATCATGATAAAGTGTTTATTTCTGTATTTAGCAATTGAAACTGAAAATTAAAACATGCTTTATGTGATCAGTAGAGACAGCATAGTGTAGTGGTTAAGACTACGCTCTGAAACCAGGATACTTGGTATTTGGGGTATATAACTATGTTTCTTATCTGTAAAATGGAAAAATAATTTTTACCTTAGGGTTTGTGAATATTAGATGAATTTATTTACATAAAGCACTTAGAAAAGGTCTAACCACTTAATAATGCTGTAATAAGTAGAAATTATATTTGTAATATAATATTAGGTATTATATTGTTATTGCTCATTTAAATTAGTCATATTTAGCCAATTTTATATGGACCTACATCCTACATCCCCCACCTTATGTTAAATTGTTGAAATTAGAAATTTATTGATGGATGATATAGAACTATATACATTTCATAGTATTTCATGTCCTCAACTTTTGTCAATTTTTATTTAAATGCTTATTTAAAAAACAGGTAATTCTTAGAAGGTGTGTGCTTGGTGTTAAAAAATAGACTACAGTTACTTAATTCTTATTTACAATAGTAATATAAATGCAAAATACATGTATGTAACCTTAACAGGAAACATATACATTTGGATAAAGAAAACTGCAAAAATTACTAAAAAAAAATTATTGAAGAAAAAGATGTATGAAGTAACTGTATAGGAAGAAAATATTGTAAATATGTATTTCTTTCCCAAATAATTTATAAATGTAATCCAATTCGAATCTAGTTGGAATCCTGGCAAAATTATCTTTAATTTTTTGTTTTGTTTTGTTTTTGTAGTGGTGGGGTTGGGGAAGGAGACTGGCAAATAATTACTAAGTTTTCTGATCAAGAATAATCAAGAAGGGCTGGCCCCGTGGCTTAGTGGTTAAGTGCATGGCACCCGGCGGCCTGGGTTCGGATCCTGGGCGCGCATCGATGCACTGCTTCTCCAGCCAAGCTGAGGCCGGGTCCCACATACAGCAGCTAGAAGGATGTGCAGCTATGACATACTACTATCTACTGGGGCTTTGGGGGAAAAAAAATAAATAAATAAAATTATAAAAAAAAAAAAAGAATAATCAAGAAAATGTTCAAAAATAATATTGGTAATAAATTAAAATGGAATTCTAAAAAATACTTAACCCAAAATAAGGCAGAAAAGAAGGAACAGAGTAACAAAACACAAAGGAAACAAATAGTAAACTATTAGACTAAAATATGAACTTTTAACAATTACATTAACCATGAATGGGCTAAACACTCCATTAAAAGGCAGCGATTCTAAGAATGAATAAAAAGCATGACCCAACTATAAGCTATCTACAAGAGACACATTTTAAATATAAAGACAAAGACAGGTTAAAAGTAAATGGATAGAAGAAGATATATCATGAAAACTGTAAGCATAAGAAGGTCACAGTGGCTATGTTAATATCATTATAGGTAGTCTTCAAGACAAAGAATATTGCTAGAGATAAAGAGAGACATTTCATAAGGATAAAAGGTCAGTTCATAAGGAAGATTAACAATGACAAATGTGTGTGCTCCTAATAATAGCTTCAAAATACAGACACAAGAATTGATAGAATTAAAGGGAGAAATAGACAAAAGCATGAACATAATTGGAGATTTTTAACACCCCTCTCTCAGCAGTTGATGGAAGTAGACAACACAATCAATAAAGATCTTTTATAAAATCTGAACAATACCATCAACTCTTTTCACCTAATTGACATTTATAGAACACCGCATTCAGCAACTGCAACATATATACTCTTTTCAACTGTTGATGGTACATTTACCAAGAAAGACCATATTCTGGGTCATGAAAGGAGTCTTAATAAATTTAAAAGGATTGAAATAATACAGAGTATGTTCTTTGAGCACAATAGAATTAAATTAGAAATCAATAACAAGATATTAGGAAACTCCTAAATATTTACGCCATGGATCAGGAAGAAATCATGAGAGAAATTAGAAAAGATTTTGAAATTAATGATTATGAAAATTCAGCATATCAAAAATTGTGGGATGCTGCCAAAACCAGAGCAAAATGATGGCTTTAAGTAATTTAATTGATAATTTAAATAATTAAATTAATGGAAAAGGAGAAAGGTCTAAAATCAGTGACCAAAGATTCTACCTTAAAAAGCTAGAAAAAGAAGAAAGTAAACCGAAAGTAAGTAGAATGAAAAAATAAGAAAGAGAAATCAATGAAATAGAAAACAAACAATAGAGAAAATTAACAAAGCCCAAGATCATTCTCTGAAAAAAATTGACAAAATTTATAAACTCCTCACTAGACTGACAAAGAAAAAGATAAGTCAATTTACCTATATTAGGAATGAAAGATACCTATATTGGTACCACTATGGATCCTACAGACATTAATAATATGAGATTATTATGAAATAGAAACTGGTGAGGGGGAACTTCACTTTCTAATTATTGAAACATCCTGTAAATCTTGAGCAATCAAAATAGTGTGATAATGGTACAAGGATTGATAGACTGATCAGTGGTACGGGCTAGAAGGTCTTGAAACAATTCAGAATGTGATAAAGATGGGACCACAAATTAATAGGGATAAATTAGGCACTTATCTTACACTGTACACCAGTAGATGCATTAAATTAAAAGTGTTAACCATAAAATATTTCAAAAGAAATATAGGTGAATATTTACTGGATCTTAGGAGGAGGATTCTCTGAGCATAAAAAACAGTAGAAGAGCTCAAAGGAAAAAAAAAGAGTTTGAAGTTTGGGTTTGGTTACATATGAAATTTAAACTTCTAATTTAATTTAAACTTCTAAAAAATTTTAACGGTAAAATGATAGTAATATAAAATATTTGCAATAATATGACAAAGAATTAATATCTTTAATATATAAAGAGCTTATAGGTACCAATAAGAAAAATTACTGCCTCAGTAGAGATATGAACAAAGTTCATTTGGTGAATACATAATTCACTGAAAAAGAAATTTAAGTAACTTATAAAATCTCTGGGAAAAATAGCTGTCCTTATTAATTGTCAAAGAAATGTAAATCTGAGCATAACAGTATTTTATAGTCAGGAAAACAGTACCAAGAACCTGATTTGTAAAGGGACTTCAGAATAAAGCAAAAGTTGTTAGAATTTTAGATTATATTAATATTCCAAAGTAGGAACCATCGTTAGTACAATATATATTGACTATTAATATTTTATCTATTGCCAGAATCAAGCCCTATTTTAATATAAGTAAATGATGGGTTTTGAAGATAGATCTCTTTTTAAGTACAATAGTGTGCTATGTAGATCGTTGCCATTTTGTCTACTCTAATTATGCTTATTAGAAGAATTAGAATTTAGATTCAAATATAAATATACTGTTATACTGATTTCATGAGTAATATTTAATGGAAATTATTTTTCAGTTTAATGAACGTTCTGCAGGAAATTTAAATCCTCTCTCATCACAACAAGAAATTGGTGAGTGATTTGAAGTTTCCTACATATAAAAACATGCCAACTTTACCCCTTTGTATTTAGTTTCTCTCTAATTGATTTTCTTAGGCATCCAGTTTATTCTTTAAAGATTATTGTTACTTCTGTACCACTCACTGATTATTATTTTTTTTTTTAGCAATTTAGTTTCTTCTTTCACTACTTGACTGAAACTTGCCTTTCTTTAGTATTACTAATGACTTCCAAATGATCAAATGTTATGGGTATTTTGTACTTATTATCATATTCAGCCTCTGCAACATTTGATATAGTTGACTATTCCCATCTTCTTTCTAGAGTTTTTGAATTTCCTCCTGTCTCTCTCATGCTTACTTTTTATTGGATCTTCTTTCTTCTTTTATCCATTGAAGAATTAATTTATTCAACATAAATATATATGTGGGTATAAAATATGTAGTATATTTTATATCAGTTACTGCTTTTGGCTCTGGTAATAGAATAGTGAACAAGAATATAGACAAATAAATGATTATATAATATATTAGAGCACTAAACAACAGTTGATATGGGTTTGAATTGGCAGTCAGACTCACATTTTAATCTAATATGAGGTTTACTTAGCTTTATAGGAAGATGCAGGGTAGGAGATAACAGCATGTGCAGTATCTTTATCTCATTGAGAGGCCCACCAGCTGCCCAAGTAATAAGCTTTCTTTTGCCACCTTACCCATGTGGGACATGTAAGACTGATATGGACAAAAGGCATGATGCATGTAGGTTATCTTGACACGCAACAGCTGCAACCTCAGCTTCCCACCAGTCTTTTATACCATTCTAACCATGAGGCCCAAGGCCTGTATACTAACTCACAGCTCCTCTAATTCAGGTGCAGTCCCACACAGTAAATTAGGCAGACACAACATTCTACATTTACCTTAATTCTGTATTTTCTAAGAAAACAGTGCTGTGAGAAGTGAGACTCCAAAGTCATTGTTCCAGGTGGGCCTGGATCATCACAGGCTTGATGTTAACTCTTTACTCACTGGTGGTAAATATTATGAAGAAAAGTAAAGCAGAGTAAGGGAAATAGGGAGCACTGGGATTGGGGAGATGGTTGCTGTGTTACAAGGAAGTCAGGGAAGGCATCACTAAAAGGCAACATTTAAGCAGAGACCTGAGAAGGTGCGGGTACAAGCTACCAGGATAAGTGTTCTAGGCAGAGGGTGCAAAGGCCTTAAGGTGGGAGCATGCTCAGCATGTTCATTGAACAGTAGGTAAATTGGTATGATTGGAATCAAATAAGGAAGGAGAAACTGGTAGGAGATTAAATCAGAGAGGTTGGAGGTGGAGCAAACCATATGGAGCCCTTAGACCATTAAGGACTTTGGGCTTTTTCTGAGTGAAATCGGAACCCATTGGAGAGTTTTGAGCAAAGGACTGAAGTGATCTGACAGATTTTAAAAGAATTACTTGGCTGCTATGTGGAGAACAGACTGCGTGGAAACAAGGGTGAAATCAGGGAGATTGATTACAGGTGAGAACTTGATGACGGTGAGGATGGTGGTATTAGAAGTGGTGAGAAGAGGTCAGATTTTGATCATTAAGTTTTCTGAGGATAGAGTTGTAAGGATTCGCTTATGGACTGGATGTAAGGAGTAAGAGAAAGAAACAAGGATGATGCCAAGATTTTTGACATGAATAACTGTAAGAATGGAGTTGCCATTTATTGAAATATGGAAGGCTATAGAAGTTACTTTGAGATTGACAGGAGCTGGGAGTTTAGTTTTGGAAGTGTTATCATTGAAAAGCCTATATTAGATATCTAAATAAAAGTAAGTAAGAAATTATATATATATGAATCTGGAATTCAGTGGGGTAGAGACAGAGATTTTGGAATTGTCATCAATGGTATTTAATGCTATGAGATCAAAACAAATCTGTCAATTGTAGACATTCTTTAAATGTCCATCATCTAAAATGTTAAATCTATTTACATTTCTCCTTTGATGCTCTCATTCATTTGACACTCATTCACTTCAGTGCTTTCAAATATTATAGTACAGGTGATAACCAAATTCATGTCTTCCCTCCCTCACTTCTCCTAACTCTAGGACCTTATTTCTGATGGTGTAATAGATATCTAAGACATCTGTTGACATTAAAAACTCAGCGTATCTGAAATCAAACTTGTTCTCCTTCTAATGTACCTAATGGTATCTCCATTACTCTAGTTGCCAAGACTCAGAACATCGGTGATAATTATAACTTCTCTCTGTGCCTGTGACCACATTCTGCTAGTCATCAAGTCATATCAGTTCTCTCTCTGAAATATTTATTTCTTTTTCTTTTCTATTTTCATTGAAACCGTTATCTTTCAAACTCTTTTTACCTTTCACTTGGGCTATTGCAGTAACATCATAATTGGTCTTTTCATCCTTTCATCTTACCTATAGATCACAGCCCAATTAATCTTCCTTATGTAATGTTGGCCATTTCACTGCCCTAGTCAAATACCTTCAGCTCCCCATGGAGTATCAATTACGCTCCTAATTTTCTAACCTAGCTCCAATATACCTTTTAAGCCTTTTCTGTTATAAGAATAATCTATGCTTTGGCCAGACTGAAGAACTCATAGCATCCCAAATATGCCCACACTTTCTAACCTGCTTTTTTTTTTTTTTTTTTTTTTTTAATTTATTTTCCCCCCAAAGCCCCAGTAGATAGTTGTATATCATAGCTGTACATCCTTCTAGTTGCTGTATGTGGGACGCGGCCTCAGCATGGCCAGAGAAGCGGTGCGTCGGTGCGCACCCGGGATCCGAACCCTGGGCCGCCAGCAGCGAAGCGCGCACACTTAACCGCTAAGCCATGGGGCCGGCCCTCTAACCTGCTTTTTACTTCCTGAAATTCTCAACTTCCATCTCTTTCTAACCATCTTTTCAAGACCAAGTTCTCATCCATAAATCTTTTATTTCCCCCTTCAACCTTCCATTTTGAGATCTCGTCTTCGCTTTTGTGAATGTCTCTTTTTTTTTACATTCTACCATCTGTGGTTATTTATGAATATGTATAAAATCTCTTCTAATCACAGGTTCTTTGAGGGGAGGGACTCTGTTTTATTCACATTTGAATTCACTACAGCACCAAGACTACTGCCTTGCACAGTAATCTATTATTTTCTTTACAACAAGAATAGGAGTTTTATGGAGACTTCTTTTGAACTTATTTTCTTCTGAAATTAAAAAAACCATCAAATTCATTTATTCAAAAGGAGATTCAAGATTTTAGTTCTCTCTGGATCTAGAAGCTATGTTATAGCTATTTTCCTTTGGTTAAGTCTTATGAATGTGTACTTAAGTCAGTGGAAAAATAAAGTAAGAAAGGAAGAGAGGAAGAACTTAAGTATCTTGTAATCAATCAGTCCATCCTTCTGTCCATCCGTCCATTCATCCACCCACCCACCTACCCTACTGCTGGTTGGCTCAGCTTTATTTAGGGTGAAATAACTGAGATGTTTAAAAATATATGAAATTTCAAAATGGCGCAAAATAAATTCTTTTGCTTAATATACTACTTGAATTAGCTTTCTATGGAAAAAATATAGATGCGTTAAAAGACTTGTTTCAAGTAAGTCTTTGGATTTCTGTACATTTTAAATTGTTTAATAATAATTAAAAACTGTAATTAAAATGTTGAAAATATATTTTTATATTTAGAGTCTTAAATAATATAATGAATGAAAATTAATTTTTCTTAATGGCAATTATGAGAATCATCAACTAATTCTTTATGTAAAGTTGATTTCAAAAATTCCTTTTAAAACTATAGAACTCTTTTCACTGTTCTGTCAATTTCCTTGAACAGTGCCATGAATACTATATAGTGTAGTTAATAAATAATAGTTGAATAAGTTTAATTTATGCAATATCTCTCAGATCCAACATTTCTTTCTCCATTTTGTTTGCTGCGAATGTAGGTAAGGCCAAATTTTCATCATCTCTTTCCCGTTATCCCCACTTCTAGACACTCTCCTATCCAGCCTTCCCACACATTCTCTCCTGAATAATCCTTATAAAGCAGTTCAAATCCTGCCATATCTCTGCTTGAAAACTCTAATGGCTTCCTGTTACCTACCAAATAAGGTCCAGATTCTATAGTTGGACATTCAGCCATCTTTCCAAGCTCATCTTCATTAATTCCCTTTTAATAACTCTTTATTATTTCTCAGTACTCCTGACAATCTGAATTGATTTCTGTTACTCTTGTACTTTTATGTATGCTTATTTCTTGCCTCTGTGCTATTCTCTTCATTTGAGGTGTTTTACCCCTCTTTCTACCTTGTATACTAGTTCTTTATATACTTGAGTTTAAATTACTTGAAAGTAAGGTTTAGGTTTGAATTTTTTAACCTTCCATAGTACCAAGGACAATACTTTGCACATTAAGAGGAATACAGTTGGGCCGGCCCCGTGGCTTAGCAGTTAAGTGCGCGCGCACCGATGCACTGCTTCTCTGGCCATGCTGAGGCCGCGTCCCACATACAGCAACTAGAAGGATGTGCAGCTATGACATAGCACTATCTACTGGGGCTTTGGGGGAAAAAAATAAATAAATAAAATAAAAAAAAAAAAAGAGGAATACAGTTAAATATCTGCTTAATAGATAAATAATTCAATGTTCCCCTATTTATTGTATGCAATATACTATAATTCAGTAGGTTATGCAAATTATGTAACATGAATAGCATGATATTTTAATATTTATCTTCCTCAGGAAACTTATTTGGGAAACCAGAAAGAGAAGATGCCTTTACATTTTCTTTTCCATCAGATTCTTCTACTCATACGTTTGGAGCTGGAAAAGATGATTTTAGTTTTCCGTTTTCATTTGAACAAGATCAAAATTCAACACCTTCTTCTGTAAAAGGTTTCTCATCTTCCTCACAAAATACAACCCAATTTACTTTTTTTGGAACTAATTACTAATTTCTTGAATTATTTTACTGCTCTGTCTAAATTTACATTACTTAAGATATGAAGACTACTTTCTTTTGTTGATTAAAGCAATAATGGGTTCCCATAGTTACATTATTTGATTATATTTATTTAAATATTGAAAGAAATTAAGTGTATGTCATGTAATTTTGTTTTTATGCATGGCATTAGCTATAATTATTAATTTGGTTTTGATTTTGCAAGCCATATCCAGTCAGAACTCTTATTAATCTTAATAGAATTTGATGCTTTTTCCATTAATCTTTAACTTAAATGTTATGCCTGCTTCTTCCCAGAACCTAAGTTTAATTGTAGTAGTAATTTAGGTGCTTTGATAAGAACAAGAACTCCTTCAGGCCCTGAGAAGACCTTTTAGCAATGCAGAATTAATTGTGCAGAATTAGTGTGTACTTTAATGAGGTGTACTTGTACTTTAGCTACTAAAAAATACTTTTAAAATTATTGTGTTTCACTTATACTTCACTGTTGCAGTATGCAGAGTGGTACTTTAATAATAATATCAAAGAATTTATGTTATTGATAGTGAATAAAATATGTTATTTTCTTCTAATACAACAAATGGTAAAATTCTAATTTTATTGGTTATTCTAATATCTTTAATAGAAGGAAATTAAATGTGAAGGGCTATAATAATTTCTGAAAGTTGATTTGTTGTATTAATGGTGATACTGTTAATATATATTTTTGCTTAAACTTTTTTGAAGAACATTTAAAATTTTGTTTCTTGTCTTCAACAAAAAATTTACGTTTCTGTTTTATCTACGGTATTTACTTGTCAATTATATATCTTAAATGAAGATATTTAAAATTCGATGAAATTATCTAAACATATTGCTCAATATCTTTGTATTTTGTGCTTTTTAAATTAGTTGTATTCAGTTATCAAGTAATAAAAAGTCTGACTCTGTATTTTGGTTTGTGATTGCTGACAGATTTTAAGCCTCACCCTGTCTTTTTCCCTTTCTGCCCCATCTGGTTAAGCTGATAAGAAAGCCCAGATGCTCCCTTCTTTGGCTCCAGTGGGAGGTTCAGACCATGTATAGGAATTCTTGCCCTGGACCCATGCCTAACCACTGTAAAAACCCAAAGCCAGTCTCCTTTCTCTGCTCTCTCAAGCCATCTTCAGACTAGCTTGGGAAACTTGTCCTTCTCTCCCCAGAAAACCTTATTATATGAGTAATAAACTTTTTTATATTCTTTTGGGGTGTGTATGGTGTCAACAGTCTCAATATCCAAAACAGATTTTGGGTGAGAGTCTTTCCTCGTCAAGGTGTCTACAACATATCACAATTGTATTCAATTAAGCCTTCCTGAAGACATTTTAGAAATCAGAAGGATGATCTAACTAATGATAGAATTTAAGAAAACTTTGGACTGCATTTAAAAAAAAAAAAGCCTTCCACAGCTAGTCAAAAGATGAAAATTTCAGATAAAAAGCTGGAGTTTTTGTTTTTATGTCAAGTATTTATTTTATTGACCATGCGATTGAATTAATTGGTAGTTTTGATATACAGTCATGTACCACATAATGTTTTGGTCAACAACGGACCTCATATATGACAGTGGTCCCATAAGATTAGTACCATATAGCCTGGGAGTATAGTAGGCTATACTATCTAGGTTTGTGTAAGTACATTCTATGATGTTCACACAATGACAAAATCACATAACACTTTTCTCAGAACGTATACCTGTTGTTAAGTGATGCATGACTATCATAAAGATGTTGACTATATATAAGAAAGGAGAAAAAAGTTGTAATTGGTTTATTTGTTATTTATTAAGAAGTTAAAAACTGGTTTTAGCCTTGAGAGTTCCAGGGATTACATGGTTTATTTTTACTTTAAATAGAGAAATGCCTAGCACACCAGTATGGTTAGATTTATCATGTATCTATAAAAGAGGTAAAATAAAGTATTTTTAAAGTATTTACAGTGTACATGGCATTTTGAGAGCATATAGAGGAGCTGAAAGACATAGTCTTATACTCAAGGAACCTATAATTTAGTTGTTAATAAATAACAAACCAATTATATTTTTTATAACTTATGAAACAACAAAAACACACTACAATAAAATAGTTTCTAATCAAATCCTATGGTTTATAACTTGATCTGTGGTAGAGAAGAGATTGAGTGCTTCAAGAATTAGAAAAAGAAAGGTCCTCATGGACTGGAAAGCCTGGGAAGGATTCGCTGAAGAGGTAGGATTTGAATTAGGACATTAAAGTTACTTAGATTGTAAAATTCTTGAGTGTAAGGTTGATGCCTTTTTTAGCTTTGCATTTTTTATTGCCTAACTCTAGTGGCTAGTGTTTAGTAGGATTTCATTAAACTCTTGTTGAATTAATTGAATTAAACTGAATTGGTAAAGGAGACAGGGAGGGCTTTCTAGTTAAGGGGAACAATATGAGCAAAAGAAAAATGCAATCATAAATTTACTGTGTGTGGAGGAAATTCAAGAATAGGCCTAACTGGAGTAGAGAGTAATAATAGTGGGAAATTGAGTTTAATAGATATGGTAGGACTGATTTATAGAGGATCTTCAAGTGTTTTGATTTAACACTTTCACACTTTAAAATTTCTGAGCCCAATAAGGAACTTAATCTTAAATGCCAGAGTTGCAAGAGAAGAGTAATGACTAAGAAAGATTAAACTGACAATACAGTCAGAGTTGGGAGAAATTAGAGTTAGATAAACCAATTAGGAGGCAATTGCATTGGTCCAGGTATGCAGTGATAAGCTCCAGGTGATAACAACTATTTGTCTTGTGGTTTGATACTGCTGACACCTAATATTGGGAAAGAATACCTTGTCTAAAAGAAATACATTTGGTTGGGGGCCGGCCCCGTGGCTTAGTGGTTAAGTGTGCACGCTCTGCTGCTGGTGGCCCAGGTTCGGATCCAGGCACACACGAACGCACCGCTTGTCCGGCCATGCTGAAGCGGTGTCCCACATACAGCAACTAGAAGGATGTGCAACTATGACATACAACTATCTACTGGGGCTTTGGGGAGAAACAGGGGAAAAAAAAATAGATTTGGTTGAATACTATCTGGGTATAAGATAAAAGGAGAAAGGAACCAGAGTTATTTGGTGGTGTTTGAATATCACAGGTCCTCCAACTAGTGGAGACATGTGCAGTGTTTCTAATACAGATTACAAAAATAACTTTGTGGGCCGGCCCAGTGGTGTAGTGATTAAGTTCGCACACTCCCCTTTGGTGGCGCTGGGTTCACAGGTTCGGATCCTGGATGCGGACCTAGGCACTGTTTATCAAGCCATGCTGTGGCACGCGTCCCACATATAAAGTAGAGGAAGATGGGCACAGATATTAGCCCAGGGCCAATTTTCCTCAGCAAAAAGAGGAGGATTGGCAACAGATGTTAGCTCAGGGCTAATCTTCCTCACCAGAAAAAAAAAAAAAAAAACTTTGTATAATGAGATAGCCTTCTAAAGATAATTTTTTAAAGAGCAGTATTCCCCTAAAGATAAATCAAATCTGCTGTCATCTTCAAAACAGGAATTTGTCTCCACTTCTACTCAATTAGATTTCAGAAATGTGGGGTCCAGTCCCAAAGACCTCTGTTACATTTAGAAGAAAAATTAACACTGCATATCTAATTGTGTTTAAGAAAAAGGCTATTTTAGTATGATTAAACTAATTTTTCTCTCAATGACTAGGAGTAGTATTCCAAGAATACAAGAGGAATATTCGAAAATCAGTCAAGACTGATTTATCCTCAAAGGAGGTCTGAGCACACAATAGCTACTGGGGTATTACTGCTTCTCAGTAATTCCTTCCTTCCTCAGAGCTAGGAAATATATGTATGTATAGTAATCTATACATACAAGTGTCTATCTATCTGTCTGTCTGTCTGTCTCTATGTAAAACAAAACAAAAAATGAGCTTATACTGGTAACTTCAGCAACAAGAGGGTCATTTTAATATTCACTCCCCTTTTGCTTATTCGTAACTTCTTTCTCTGACGGTGAGAAACCTGGCTCTCATTATCTACAATTTATTTACTTTATTGTTCAACCCTAGGATACATGTAAAGTAGTTTTAGAAAGCGCAATTAGACCCTCTGAGAAACAAATTTATCTATTTGTGTATATTAGTTTCCTGTGGCTGCTGTAGCAAATTACCACAAACCTTTTGAACTGAAACAAGAATTTATTCTCTCTCAGTTCTGGACGCCAGAAGTCCAGACACCAAAATCAAGGTGTCAGCAGGACCATGCTTTCTCCTGAGGCTCTAGGGGAGAATCTGTTCGTTGCCTCTTTCAGTTTCTGGTGCCTGCTGGCATTCCTTGGCTTGTGTCCACATCACTCCAATTTTCAAGGCCATTGTATTAGGGTTCAGAGAAACAGAACCAATAGCATCCATCTCTATCTATCGATTTATTTTAAGAAATTGGATTTCATGATTTTGGAGGTTGCAAACCCAAAATCTCTAGGGCAGGCTGGAAATTCAGGTAAGAGTTGATATTGCAATCTTGAGTCTGAAATCTGCAGGCTGAAAACTCAGGCAGGGTTTCTATGTTACAGTCTTGAGGCCAAATTCCTTCTTCAGGAAACCTTGGTCTTTGCTCCTGAGGCCTTTAACTGATTGGATAAAGCCCACCAACATTATGGAGAATAATCTGCTTTACTCAAAGTCTACTGATTTAAATGTTAATTGCATTTAAAAAAATACCTTCACAGGAACATCTAGAATGGTGTTTGACCAAACAACTGGACACCATGGCCTAGCCAATTTATATTGACATATAAATTTAACCATCACAGCCAGCATCTTTAAATCTCTCTCTGCTCTACCTTCAATTGGCCTTCTCTCTGTGTGTGAAATCTCCCTCTGACTCCATTTCATAAGGACACCTGGTTGTATTTAGGGCCCACCTGGATGGATAATTCAGATAATCTCCCCATCTCAAGATCCTTAACTTAATCACATCTGCAAAGACCCTT